AAGTACTTTGTGGCGGGCGTAAAACGATATTCGTATTTTTAAAGGACACACCCAAGATTATGCAACCGAATTTTGTAAATTGTTTCTTGCACTAATTGCTGGGCGCGTTAGATAACGTACATTTTTCTAGCTGTATGTGTGTGTGTGTAGACTGGCAGGCGATGTATTGTGGGCGTGGCTGTCTTAGAATTTTGTTTTGCATTTTGAAAATGAATATATGTTGGCGCGCTTGGCCGACGCCGCTGCCACTGCCGCCATTTTCGAGCATTGTGCCAAGCATGTCGCTCGTCCCTGACCGCCTAACAGCCTCACTGCCACTTCTAGCTGCAACATTTTATTGTTGAATTTTTGGCAGCGTGCAGTTTGCTTGTTGCAAATGTCATGCTATGCATTTGCATTTCAATTTACATTGCAATTTTACAATTTGGCCCGCCAACACACACACACAGACGCACACACCCTCCTTCTTGCTGTTTGGCCGCGATTAGCGCGCTATAAATCCTCAAATGTGGCTGCATTTTAACAACGTTTTTGCGTTTGTGCCATTGCTGTTATTGTTCTTATTATTGTTGTTGCTGTTGTTGTTAGATGCAGTCATAAAGCAAATCATTCAATGCGACCACGCCCATCGTGGCCGTAAAACAAGACGCCTGCACTAGCATTAAATTTCTGCAAATGTGCAACTCATTTTGCAAAGTTTCCTGGCAGTGGCGTATTTCCATTAAAAGCTATTATTATTGTTGTTGCAGCAATAGTGTAGGTTTGTTATACACATATATGTAGCTATATTCTAATGGATTTATTTTAAGCTGCCAGAAAAGGCGCAGCTTAATCAATAATTGAGCGATAGTCGAATGCTTGCGCCCTTTACCCTAGACCTACAGAAATCGAATCGGCAAACACAACTCAGCGCAATTTTTCGCCAAATCATGGTGCACCGCTTAATTTAGTCACACACTCAAATTCAAACTGTAAAAAGCGTTCGAAAGTTTTTCAGCACGTCCCTATACCTGTATGCTCCAGTCCTGAATGGGGCATCCCACAAAACATTTATGCGGTCAGTGTTGTTCGGTTATCAGGACTTTTTCTATTGAATATTCTTTGGGCATTTAGCAAATATGAGGCTACTAAATTAAAAGAATCTACATACATATATGTCGCGTATGTTATTTGTTTAATATAATCTTTCCGAAACTACTTCCACAGAAAGAGCCCATGTGCTTAAAAGTTACCGAATAAAATTAAAAGTATTTCCACAAACGATAGATAGACTCTTTTTTCGAGTAAGAAAGTCTACATAAAAATTTCAGCCCTGCAACTCTACTAATAATAATAAAATTTGTAAATTCTGAATTTATAAACAAATACCCTTTTAAGGGTGAAGAACTAAGTGACTTTTTCGGTCTGATATGCTTGGCAACACTGAAAGAACACCCTCGACCATTTCTCATACTTGTACTGCGTTACGCATACGCCGTGTGTTCGCTTTGTGGAAGTTGGAGCTCCACGTCGCGTCGGCAACACACGCGTACGTGCAAAACTTTAAACATCGCGATGACTGCACAATTATAGGCGGAAGAAAGGGGAGAGAGGGGAGCGACGGGCAGTGAGCGCAGAGAGCGAAAGCTCGCAGCAGTCAGGCGTGAGTCTTAGCAACAACCAATGGTGTGTAAAAAAAGGGCACGAAGCGTGTTGCCAAGGTGAGTCGAACTGCGTGCTCTGGATACAATGTTGTTGCCGCTACTAATGTTTGTGTTGTTTATGTAGTTGTTATTGTTGTTGCCGTTGAGCCATTTTGCGGTGTCTGTAACTGATGCATATGCCTTGCACTGCTGGATGCTGCTTGTTGCTTTCGCCGCCACTGCTGCTGCTGCAACTAATTAAGACAAACTAACGTGCTGGGTGCCTGTCGAGGTAAACGCCGTGCCGTGCAGCAAGGACGGCGTTGCTCAAATGCAGCCACACTCGGGCACCGACTAAAAGCTGTTCAAGGGCGAGCCTCTTTGCCAGAGTCTAAGTGTACTTGGAGAAAAAACTCAGTAAAACCAACCTCCAACTTAGCAACAACCAAGCTAATAAGAAAATAAAGTAGTATCTATCTAGTACTACTCCCAATTGGTTGTATAAATTAAAATATCAGAACTCAATATCAAGTAGAAATTAAGTTAGAAAGAACTTTGTTGCACCTATATTAATGGCAAGTTTTTGATGTTCCATCATTCTTCTAAATAAACACATTTCCGGTGATCAAGATAAGGGCCCTTGTCAATATATTTTCAGTGGGAAGAAGAAGGATTAATTTTTGAATGAGTTTAATATAAATATAATTTATTTTAATTAACATTATTTAGGCTTTAACATACGAATTGGTTACATTTTGGTATTTCCATTTATCCACTTTTCTTCGAGTGTGCATGTGTGCCTGTCGCTGCGGGTTTTGATATATGGCTTTGTTACAATCACAATGTGTTTACATGGAGCGCCAGTGCCAGCTAGCAAGTAACAACAACAGCAGCAACAAAGCCAGAGCGCCAAGTGCACTTAATTTGTTTGCTTAATTTACAAAACATGAGAAGATGACGATGCTGCTGCCGAGTTCGTGTATACACGTACAAACAAGTACACACACACGGCCATACAAGTACGCACTAACATCTAATGCCAACCGGGAGATACTCCGCCCCTTCGCTCCCCCGCATGTTTGTAAAGCACTGGCAGTCGCCACCTGCGTCAACTGCTGCTCCTTGTAAGTGCAGCTGTTGTCCTGGCCTGGCAACACGGGCCATCACTGGTGAGCAGTGAATGTTGCGTGTGAGCTTGTCTCTCTGCGCCGCACCCAGCAACCAGCCCTGGTGTCTTAATTATTTGCATACAAAAATGTTTTTAATACCTAACACAAAATTTCAACGCAAATAACCTGGGCGGGCTATCATCGTGGCAAAAATGTATTAGTGCTGATTAGGCGTTGGCATGGGCTGCGGAAGGAAAAGGGCTAGAAACAAAAGCGATTGGGTAATATAATATTTGTGCATTGTGGTTTACACTCTGTTGTCTTATAAAATGTTCGAGTATGTTAAGCAGCTTCATAGGTATTACTGTGCATTAGGAAATTTAACAAAGGGAGTGTTTGAAGGGTGACTAAGGTGACTTCAATACTAAGGCAACACGAATCAACAGCAAGTGAAAAAAAAATTAAATAATAAATTAATTTATTAATTAATATCCCTTGATTTCTTTAAGTTAACTTAAATTGAGATAGAACTAGAGGCATGTTCATAGTCCACCGTGGCATTGCGTGCACATGAATGTTCGCGTTCTTCCACATACACATACATATAAATAGAGTTACACTCCAATTCGATTTTGAAAGCAAAAATTATATATATATGTATATATATATATATATATATATATATATATATATAATATTTAAAAAAAAATTAAAAAAATATATATATATATATATTTTTTTTTTATATATTATCTGCTTCTATTTATTAATAACAATACGCCCCAAAAGTATGCCATGATTCCTGCCAATTTTAAAATATAAATCGGTGTGTTCGAGAACAGCTTGTCTTTCATTTACATTTACATAACTACCAGATAATCAAAATACATGTTATAAATCAGCAGCATGTTGGAAAATGAGTTTTCAATACTATTCAACACTTTTAAAAACTTATTTATTAAAAAGGGGAAAACCTTTAATAATGGAAGCTGGTTTCTGCTGAATGACGTTGGCCTGCTAATCATAAGTTTAAAAATGTGATCTTAACAACAAAAAAACGGAGCTCACTTTAATAATTTTTGTTAGTTCGTTGTGATAAGGGGATGAAAAAGGAAGAATATATGTGTTTAAATTTTAAAGTCGATAATCATAGGCTGCTGACGCCGATTCACATCCAACAGTGCTCATAGACAAAGAAACAAAACCTTATAAGTACATTTTTTTAAATACTTGAAGTAGGAATCTTTTTTGATTTTTAAAACAAAATTCTAGAGGGGCGAATGCTCCCTAATCAATTTGGTAAGCTATCTCTCATTTGTGTTCTCTTGAATTTATTTGCGTGTTCTCTGGTTTCGCTTAAACCTTTAAATCGAAAGTTTTTTATTTGCTATTGCTTTTCCTAACAACGCTGCTGCCGATGACGCTGCTGTCGTTTCATCTGCTGCTCAGCTACTTGGCAGTTCATCTTCAAGTTGCCATTTCTTGGCGCCGTTGCCGTTCTTTGTTGTCTACTTTTCTTGTTTGGCATTTTATAATTAATTGTTGTCAATTATTTTTAGCTTATGCTCCGGCAACAGCCACCAGATCGCGTCCAGCACCACCACCACCACCAGCACCAGCATCAGCCGTAGCAGCAACAGCAACAGCCGCAGAAGAAGCAAAAGCAGCATCGCTTGATAAGCAATGCAGCATTTTTTATGAGCTTGACCGCTTTGACTTTGACTTTAGACGGCAACTTGTAGTGGAAACAAAGGGACTATAAATAGTATACAAAACAACTTGCTTATCAGTGTTGATTGGGTTTGTGCTTAGTAATACCAAGGCGTCAGGTGTTTGTTTTGACAACCCGTCCCAGAGCCTGGAATCCCATCAAACCTGTGTGACATAACCGTGTAATTGACCTCGCGTCTTAGCTGTGCTGAGCAGCAGATTCCGTAGGCGCGATTGTGATCATTTGTTAAGCCTCCGTCTTATCAGAGGTGGCAACATTGTTTATGTTTTTAGGGCGTGCAGTGGAGCATTCCGGTGGCTGGGGTGGTGCTGCGATGGTGCGGTGGATGCGGTTTTAAATGAGCATGATAATGTCAAGGCAAATGCACGAGCCGGCCGTTGGCCAGCATCGTCGCTGCTTTCGCTGCTGCATATCTCGGCGACTGCAGAGGCACACGTTCATTGGTATGGGTATGTAGGTATATGGATGCATGGGTGTATGGGTGTACTACAGGTATAAATGGGCCTTGCATAGTGGACTGTGCTATGATTTCGCAAGATGAAGTCGTTCACCGCAGTTGCAGTGCTCACGCTGGCGCTTCTCGCGCTCGGCTCCACCAAGAACATTCAGTCTAAGGTGGCCGACAAGGACTTTCTGGTAAAGCAAAAGTTTGTATTTGAAATTCTGCAGCACATCTACCAGGACGATGTGTTTGTGACCAAATACGATACGAGCTTCTATGAATACAAGCCCTGGGAACACACCAGCGACTTCCAACATCCCGAGAAACTGCAACACTTCTTCGAGCTGTGGCAGCATCATCCCTTCAATGATGAGCAGGTATTTACCGTGCTGTACGATCGTCATGAGGAATACGCCGTTGGTTTGGTGCGCCTCTTCTACTTTGCCAAGAATTGGGAGACCTTCCAGCATGTTGTGTTCTGGGCCCGCCAGCATGTGAACAAGCAGATGTTCGTCTATGCCTTCACCATTGCTACCCTGGTCCGTGACGATATGCAAGGTATTGTGCTGCCCGCCCAGTACGAGATCCACCCCTGGACTTTCTTCGATACCCAGACTCTGGAAATGGCCGAGCACTACAAAATGCATGGCTTCCACTATGTGAAGAAGCTGGATAACATCTACAACGTGGTACTGAAGTCCAACTATTCGAACGTCCATGGAGACATCAACTACGATCATTCCCTGTCCTACTTGTTGGAGGATGTTGGTCTCAACTCGTTTTACTACTACTACAACCTGGACTATCCCTTCTGGACAAAGGGCAATGAGAAAATAGTGCTGAACAAGGATCGTCGCGGTGAGCTGTATTTGTACATTCACTGGCAGTTGCTGGCCCGTTACTACCTGGAGCGTCTGTCAAACGATTTGGGAGAGGTGCCAACCTTTAACATGTACGAGGAAGTCGATACCGGCTACTTCAACGGACTTCGCTACTACAACGGCATGGCATTCCCCAACCGCGACAACCACTATAGCTTCTACAAGGATCACAACATCGAGTACATCCAGGAGGTGGAAATGTACACACAGCGCATCATGGACTTCATCCACGAGAACGACAAATACACCATGGATGTGGTTAACCAGCTGGGTAACATGATCCAAGGCAATGCTGACAGCATCAACGAGAAATTCTACGGCAGCCTGGACAAATACTATCGTTATATTGTCAACGAGGGTCGCCCCTTCGGCAAGTACCAGGAGACGCTCCCCACCACCTTCATGCACTACGACACCTCAATTCGCGACCCCCTGTTCTTCGAGGTGTACAAGGGCATTTTGGATCACTACTGGCATCTGGTAGAGACCTTCCCTGAGTATACCAAGCAGGATTACGGATTCGAGGGTGTCAAGATCGATGCCGTCCACATGCCTGAAAGCCTGACCACCTACTTCGAGTACTTCGACTCGGACATCAGCAACGCTGTCAATGTTGAGGGCGTCGTCGAGTCTAGCACCGATGTGACCTACAAATTCGGCCGCAACTCGCACTACAATGGCGAGAGCTACGTGATCAAGGCACGTCAGTACCGCCTTAACCACAAGCCCTTCGAATTCACTCTGGATGTCACCTCCGACAAGGCACAGCAAGCCATAGTCAAGGTCTTCATTGGTCCCAAGTACGATGAGAATGGTCGTTTGATCCACCTGCAAAATAACTACATGAACTTCTTCGAGCTGGAGCACTTCAAGGTTGATCTGGTTGCCGGTGTGAACAACATCAAGCGCAGCAGCGGTGACTTTAGCTTCTGGGTGAATGATCGCACTACCTACCTCGAGCTGTACCAGAAACTGATGGATGCCACCAACAGCGACTACAAATTCAAGCTCGATCAGTCCGAGACTCATTGCGGTGTGCCAAATCGCGTTATGCTGCCCAAGGGAAAGAAGGGTGGTCAGACCTACCAGTTCTTCTACATGGTCTATCCTTATCATGAACCCACTGTCGCCCAGTACACTGGCTACGATCCCATCATTAGCTGCGGTATTGGTCATGGCTCTCGCTATGTCGATAACTTGCCCTTCGGCTTCCCCTTCAACCGTCCGATCAAACACGACTACTACTTCGATGTGGACAACTTTAGGTTCTTCGATGTCAAGATCTATCATCGCGATGAGCACACCAATGTGGTCTAAGATCGGCGAACTCAGACTCTGATTTAGTTGTAGGCCTAACCAACCACTGCGCTCCATCCGCAGTGCGTGTTCGATTCAATTAATATAAAATGTGAACTTGCTTGCAAATCAATAAAAAGAACACAACCTACGAAAACAAATAACTAATTATAATCGAAACACTTCATTTGCGCGAACTTAGTACTTTGGTCTGCCACAATGCCACAACTGATTAAGTAAAAGTTTTGCCTCGGAAATTTCCTTTGTATTATTTCTTTATTTCATCAAATAATTTTCCGTCTTTATCGCTTTTTATTTGAGCTAAGTTTCATGCCCAGTGGCGTGTTTGCCTTTAGTGGCGTGCTTTGATTTTCTTTTATGTTTTTGGGTTTAGCTTAACTCTCATCAATTATCGTAATTATGCATATCTCATATATTTATTTATATATATATAAGTATATATATATATTTGTTTGTTTGTCGTATTCTGTTTCGCTTTATGCATGTCGTTTTTTCATACTTATTTGAGTGTTGTTTTTTGTTTTTTGCTTTCCTGTAATTAAGTTTGATTTTACATTTTATTATTATTAGCAATTAGTTTAGTTCTGTTTTAATTTGCTGGCGACGCTAAAATAATTTCGTTTTATGGGATTATTCCTTTTCCTTTGATTTACAATTCAGTTGCTTGCTTTTGATTCGTTCCTTTTTATTTTGTTAATTTTGTTTTGTGTGTTTTTTTTTTAATTTCTCTAATTTTAATTAGTAGTTTTTATGTTGGTTTGTGGTAAAGGGCTTACAGCATTTTTCATTGTGACATTGCAAATCGTTTGCAAATTTGTGCCACACGTACATATTTTGGATACCTTAACATCTTTTGTGGTTTATACTTATTATGGTTTATTAAATAGTACGCCCAACTTTGTCCAACTAGCTTCTATGCACTAACATTATCGATTTATTACTCTTACATATTTCTAATATGTTTTTATATTTATATATTATTATTAGTAATAATTTATGTGTCGATTGGACTCAGCCAATCGTTTTGCCTTACACACCTAACAAAAACGATTAACATTTAAATCGTCTGAATGAAACAAAATGCACAAGGTAAATGCAATAAATTAACCACAACGCAAACAATATTAATTCAATTCAATAAATAACTTTCATCATATAAATGTTACGCTCAGTTACTTAACTACACACGTACGAGTATTTCTCTTTTTTCATTGTGTTTTATTATTATTACATAATTACCTTTTCATTTCAACATTAATTCATGTTTTTCTACCGGACTGGCTGCACATTAGTTTTTGTTTATCTGTTTTGATTTGATGTTATTTTTGTCGTCATTTGTTGTCGTTATTTTTACAAATATTATTTACATAACTTACGTATCTAGGCTGCGGGTATTGGAGGGTAGGGTGTACTTAGTGTGTAATTATTTTTGTCTTAAGGGTATTAATTGTTTTTTATGCAAATTAGCTTCCAATTTCTGTGTCTTCTCTGCTCGTCCTCAAATTGCGGTCTTAACCACTTTTATGCTAAATGCGAATTTATTTATCCGTCTTCCATATCATGCCATCATTTTTTGGAGTACTTGTTCCTTATTATAGCAAAGTTGCACGGATCTTTGGGAAATTTCCATTTTTTCAAAATGTTTTCACTTACTTTTTAGTTGTTTTGTCTAATTTTTTTGTCTTTGCTGTACTTAAAATATTTTAAAGTTACTAACGTTTTGTAGCGCGGCCGCAAATTAATAAATTACTGTACTGCAGTTAATATTTTTAAATGCCGGGGCTCGACGCCATTGTTTGTTTAGTGCACGGCGTCAGCAACAACAACAACTGGAAAGGCTGCAAATGGCGAAACGTGGAAGGTGGATCGCATCCACGCTGCCCCTCCAATATTATGTTTTAATTTTTTTTGCAATTTTTTTTATTTGTTTTTATTTGCGCATATTGCGCGCTTTTATTTATTGGTTGGCTCTTGTTATTTTTTAATTATACATTACACTTTCCGCTCTTTGAGGCTGATGTTGTTGTTTTGCTGATGCTGATGCTGCTGCTGCCACCGTTGCTGTTGCCTTTCTGCTCCTTCAGTTTGTCATTTACATGCGTCCTGGTCACAGTTGCGTGGCTGCTAGCGTCACCAGCGCCAGGGTGAGGATACTGGCTACACTGCACTGCGCCGCACCCGTTAGAGCCGAATTGTCTGGATCACCGTTTACGTAGCGCTTGGAGCCCTCCAGGCCGAGCAAATTGGGCGAAATCGTTGTGGGCGGCATTGTGCTAAGCCCGATGCGTTGCTGCACACTCTTGTGGAAGACATGCAGTATGGAGACCTCGCAGAGCAGCATTATGCTCGTCTGATACTTGGGCATGGCATGGAAGAAGCCTTGCAGTACTTGACTCTGCGGATAGATCTCCAGCGAGGAGTAGGTGGCAGAGCCTTCGAATGCGTTTTGTGTGATGCGCTGGAGCGGCGTTTTATAGACCTGAAAAATAATACAAAAATAAGCAAACTTTCAAAAGATAGGCCATAAAATTTAACACTCATTAAATAACTTGAACATTTATTATAAAAAAAAAACAATTAAATCAAATAATATTGTATCTGTTAATTTTTTTATTTTTAAGAATTTTATACAAGATAACTCAATAACTTCACTTCCAATCGTTGAAATGTCATGAAATTCTCACTGGTCAATCGATAAAGATAGCAGATTCTAACGCACCAATCGACATATAGATAGCGTCACCAGGCGGCGCTTGATTCAGAAAGTCCTCTTTACTTTGGAAAACTCCTTGTATGTTCAAATTTTTTATTTGTTTCAGGAAACTTTATTTATATATATAGAGGTAAGTTGTGGAAGAATACAACTCTTCTCTCAGCTATCACCTATTATCCGGGGTCGGAAGTTCATGTTTTACTATAAATGCCGACAATCTAATCTAATATAGCAGTATTGTGGTAAAATACTCGTATTTTGTTATAGGTAGCAAAGGCAAAGGAATATTTCGATTGCAGAAAATTACATCCGACCTGGTTTAAATATTGAAATACAGCGAGTGAATGGCTTCTGGAACTCACCTTTCGTCCATTGATGTACCAGGTAATGTTGGCCGGTGGATATGAGGGACCCACCGTACAGACGGCTTTAAACATGTCGTTCTCCGAAATCACCTTCTTGTCCACCTGCATGGCCGGATCGTCCTTGGGCAGTTCAATCACCTGCATGTGCGCTGACCTTATGTCCGTGTGGAAGAGCGGCGCATCCTCGGAGACCTCACATTGATAGCTGCCCGTCAATTCACGTGTCACGCCTTTCAGTGTCACTGAAGTTGCATCCGAATTGGTGAGCTATAGACGACAGGATGTTGGGAATTGTTAACACCGTTATTATAGTAATTAGAAGCGTGCCTGCGCTTGGCGGCAATGTGACCACAAAAAACGTTTACAACAATTTTTGATAAGTTGATTAAAACCAAATTGAAATGGATGTCAACTGAGTGAATGCATTTTGTGTGTGTGTGTGCGATTTTTAGTCCGACCATGCCCTGCGGCCCCTGATGCTGCATGCGATAAAAGCGCGGTAGTCGACAGCCCCCATACAGTTGAGTGGCGTAAACGAGTGGCAGTATACAAGTATAGCACCGCCATTTTGTGATGTGTGCATATGTGTCCTTGTGTTTGTTGTTGTTGGCGCAATTTTGCATTTGTTGATAATGGGCAACGATTGCCACTTGCAGCACACAATCCACATGCCAAAGGGTTGCAACCCATACCTTAATATTTGGCGCTACACTGAGAAACAATGTTCGTGATTACAAAAAGAAAGACTTGAGCTTCTACTACATATCCATAAAAACTTTAAAATTACATGTTGTAATGCAAATGAATTGAATTGAATGCATGTATTTATGTGCTCTATGAATTCATACGAAGTACGAAATAAAGTACATAGTTGCAAAAAGTTCTTCTAAGAAGGAAACAAAAATACAATTAATAGCAAGAACTGACTAGGAACCGTTTTGTGAACGATGCTGGAATAGTTTTGCTATCAATTCAGGGATAGCTAAATGCAATTGAACTTTTGGACTCCATCTGTTTCAATGAGAATAAAAATTGGGCTCCGATCACAACTTCTACGCCTTGTCCTACTTTAAATGTAAATCTAATCTAAATGTAAATTGGCTGACAAACAATCAATTTAGAAAGTGGATCAAAAAAGAGTGCATAAATTTCACAAATTGTGGGAACATATTTTCCAAGCATTTTTGTTTTATGCACGGACTGTTAAACAAACACGATTACAAATTAAATCAGTTTAAAAAATAATATAATAATATTTAATTCCTTCTCTTAAGAAATTCATGAAAGCACTGTTAATGGAACAATTAAAAGTTAACTTTTTCGGATTGCTGTATGTTTCAGTTAATTGATGAACACAAAGGTTACAATATTTTTTTGTCTGTAACTATTTTAGAGTCTCTGTATGTGGGTGTGTATAACCCGCCGCACAAAATCCAAATCCACTTCACCCAACGCTTCTGCATACCATCGAAGAGACGCTGCCATGTAGCGGCGATTAACGTATTGAAATTCTCATGCGCTGTTTCTACACCTCATCGTCTGGCCTTTGTAGCTAAGTTCAATTCAACGCAGAAGCTTATCCTCTCCCTCTCCCTCCTCCTCCTCTTCCCCTTCCCCCACTCCCAAGCACGACTACCACAGCAAAGTTGTGCATATGCCGCTTTGTTAATTTGCATCTGTCCTAATCCCTCCATTGTTGACGCCGCAGTTATTGGCACTACCAGTCGCCATTCTGCCATGCCCGGGGCGCGCAACAACAGCAGCATACAGAAACGACAACAACAGTTGTTTATGTGTGTGTGTGTGTGTACGATTGTTTCAACACTTTCGCGCATTGCTCGCCGGCTAGAAACGGAGGAGCGACAAGCGACGAGCGTCTAGCGACAGCGCTTTCTATTTAGTTGCTGTTTGCCGTTGGCAGTGTTTTTGTTTTTTGTTTTTCTATTTCTGTTTTTTGTCTGCTTGTCGATGAGAATGTGTGGGTTGTTGTTATTGGTTTTTGTTTGCTAGTTTGCTAGTTCATTCGCAGATAACACGCTGTCGATAAGCGCGCTCGAGCTATAGCCATAGAGTCGGGCAGCTGGCAACCCAGCAGTGAGCCCTCGAAAGCGGCAGCGAATAGTCGGAGTGGCTTTTCCTTGCTTTTCCTCGCTTTTTACGGTCAGGCCATGGCAGCTTAAACAGTTGGCGCACAATTGGCGCTCGCGGTTCACATACATGAAGTCATACATATATGGATGAGTGTGCTGGTGTGAGTTACTGGTCCGGGCAGTCATTGCTGGCGCTCCTCGTTGGCTGCCATTTGGCATATTGGCTCCCCATGCGCGTTGCGGTTTTAGTGGCTTTTGGATTTGTCGACGTTGATCTCGTTACGCAATCGTAAAATGAAAACAAATGTGAAACGTATTGATAAGGTTTTCTATATGCAAAGCGCATGTGTGTGTATGTGTGTGTGTGGGTGTGTTTGTTTTGTCTCTGTTGTGTGCTTATGTATAGTATGTTGTTCTCGCCATTCCTGAATTTGAATTATGAATGTGCATTGGCTTTGGCTGCACTCTGCCTGTCCAAGGGAAACAAATATCAGCATCGTATGTTATATCACATAAGTTATGCGTGCAACATTGTTACATAAATGCGAGCTTAAAGCCAGCCTGCTCTCCAATATAATATGTATTTATTAAGTTTATAGTAAGCTACACTCTGGTAACGTTTCTATCCGCAACAAATGTATCTCTGCACTTTGTTGAATGTGTTCTTTATATACTATTCTTACTTTTGTTAAATATCGGAACCGCAATAGTTTTTAAACTTTTTCAAATTCAACCGAAAATCGATTCTATAAACAAAATAATTGTTCCTATGTACATTACTGAGTTTCTTAAAACACACCAAACACACCGTATGGTTGCCGAACCATAATCCTATTATTGCTGGCGTGCACACTTTTTCAGAATTGTAAGCTACAAATTTTATTGGCCACACTTTCGAGATTTGAAATAGATAAATGCCCATGATAGTAGCTGATTTAACTTTTGAATTTTCCATTTGGCATTTTCAACACAAATTTCAAAAGCTGGAGACCAACTCTATCCTCAATGGACACTCAAATGATCGTCAACTAAAACTAAATACATGCATATGCAAATTAAATGACACTAATTATGTAATCAGAAAAGTTGTGTCCCAGGTTTTTATTTCTGTGTTTTGTCTGTTGTTATACGGGATGGCTCGGAGAGGTATTGTTTATTTTGTGACTGTCTCATATGTATGTTAGTTTATATATACTAGCAGATTTAATTGCATGTGACTTTGTTATGCCACGACTGTAACGTTTGTTGTTTGTTGCTTATATTGTTGCGGCTGTTGTTGGGTTTGTTGTGGCAGTGAGGCGGAAACGGAAGTGGCAGCGTCAGGAAGCGCGGCAACAAACGCAAATGTCTGCCATTTTGAAGAATTATGCCGCACACGCACTCGCACAGACACATATACACATGACTCTTGCTATTTGCCCCCTGCGCTTCGGAACTCAGCTCGACTCGCTGCCGTTGGTCCTTTTTTGTTCTATGTTCACAAAGTTCTTTCTACTACATGCCACTTCACATTTTTCCTGTTTTTATTTATTTGTTGCCTTTTAATTTCTATGTATTTAAATTAACTTTTTCTATTTTTATTTCTTTCATTTTTCTGCTGTTGCCGCAGCTGCGTTAAGCACAACTTTGCGACGAGTTATGCGGCATAAAAAATTATGCTACTAAAGCCCAATTTCGCATGTTAGCCCGGGATTGCCATACACATACACGCATGCTTGCAACGTTTTGCAATTACACACACACACACACACACACATACCGCAAGTAAAGTATTGTTTCAATAATTCTGGCTTTATGAAATAATAACTTCACTGCACTGGCTGCTGAGCTCACAGCGTCGAGTTGTAAGAACACAATGAATTTCAATGCAGTCCCCTGCCCCTCTGCTGCGTCTTCCACTCGTTTGCTCGTTCCCTAGCACAGCTGCAAAATCTACGGTCTTACGTTCCCCTTCTCTCGCCACTCACATCTCAGAGCTTCCATCTACACTCCACACACTCGTTTCGCTGAATTTCCGCTGTTTGTTGTGCAGCAATTTTAATTTTGAAAACGCTGTCCCTCCATATCACACACACATGCACACACACACCAATATGTACACTTGACAAAAAATTACATACTTGTATAGTTAAGCAAGCTGAGAATCAACACAAGCTAAGTCTGAACAAATCCTTTTAAGGTTTCATTGAATTTTGTGAACTCTGAGAAGCATTATCTTTCATCAGCCCTATTGATGAATGATCATGCATTGGAAAAGCCTAAGAAAAATTTTGGGGGGCTATTTAACGCCGTCTGAAATTGTTAGATTTTAAATATTGCTAAGCTTAAATTAATTTTGAAACGTAGTGACAAAAATTTCAAAAATTTACGTAGCAAAATAATTGCCTAAGGGCACTTTTAAATGATTTTACTTTGGAAATTGTATTGTTTTATGTGAACTATTTTTCAATTTGAAACAAATAAAGATTACTTGTATTCTCAGAAACCATTTTGGCTAATCTATTGCTAAGCGTTTAGTATTGTTATATTTTTAGAGACGAGTATATTAAGAATTAGGTGCTGATCGATGTGAGCGCTTGTATATTTTCAATAACTAATAAAGTTTTAAATCAGGATTTATTTTGTTCTTTACCAATTGCTTTATCTAACCAAAAAATTACGGATTTAGTATTTCATTTTTATTAGTGGAGAAGTGTAGAAGTATGTGTGAGTGTGTGTGCGTGTGCCTCAGCTGCTGGCTGCTTGCAGCTCGTTTGCATGCAACACTTTATGAATTATTGCTGTATCAACTCAAGTCGCGGCAGCCAGGCAGCCACACATGCACACATACACACACACATAAACAAATATGCGCACGTATTATGTCATCCCGAATTTCCGTTGCCTCGAGCTTTGTTGTAACTAACGGCGCTGCTGGCGCGCTGTGCGTATGTATGGGTGTGTGTGTGTGGGCCTGATTCTGTGTCCATGCCTCCTGTACTTGTTTTGAGCTTTAGTTGGTCTTGCTGCTACTGCTGCTGCTTCTGTTGCAGTGGCTCTTGTTAGTGCTGTTGTTATTTCTGCTGGCATTTCACAACTTCGACTGTGTGTCGCGCTCCAGCGTGCGCCCCCGCACCCAGGAGCGTGCTTTGGCAAAAACCGACCACAAATTTAGTGAATGAGATGTTTCCGGTGCGG